ACGAGGTGCAAGTGTCGGCAACCCTTGTGCCAGATGATTCTGATGCTTCCCACCCCGCCCTGAGCAGTCTGTGGTGCTTTTCCTGAGGACGTTTTCACCAGTTGCTGGGGAAGAGGCCAGTGAGTCGAGTGGACCCACCAAAGCCTGAGTCAGGCATCACCTGGATTCAGCTCACTGTACCTTTGACGGCTGAGGCCACATTCTCGGCAGGGCCTGCCTGACCTGCTCGGCTCCTCACTCTTGGCATCACCCCTGCGTTCCTCACGCTTGGTTCCTCGTGTCTTTGGACACAGAGCCCTGGGAAGGAGCATCAAGCAAATGAACAGATTGGAGCAGCCCCTCACCAGCCAACAACTCCAGGGGGAGCCCACTTGTGGAAGGAGTGCCAAGGCAATGGTGACTCGAAGCCAGATGGGCTGGAGTGTGGAGGAAGGTCTTTATCCAGGCTCTGAAGGTGTAATGTGACAGGTGATGGCACAGTGGACCAGAAGGCAACTGCCAGCCCACCATCAACCACCAGGAGCAGGCAGCCACCAGCTGGAAGATGGATCGGCTGCAGAGCGCTGTCAGTTTCAGCTCAGTCACAGGCTCACAGGGACTGCATGCATTCAGCAAGTGTGACATTCAACACGCAGTGCACATGAGGGCCCCTGTCAGATGCTGACAGACACCCGCGGCAGCCTTACAGAGGGGAGATGGTGCCACCTTTGCCTAACAGCTTCCTGATGGTGGGGCACACAGATTCCGAAGGAGAGACACGTGGTTGGATGGTGGTGTGAAGGTCATGGCATCGCATGCAGGGGGACAAATCAGTGGAAACTTGAGTAGGCAGGGAGATTTTAGAGGTAGATTTATAAAAGCTGATGTAATAAGATAGAACTGACTTTCCTCAGGGAAAATTCAGAGAGGATGGGACTCACTGTTCTTGCAGTCAGTAAAAACTTCTCATCCCAAGCAGCTGTACTCATCTGGGTGGACTGCTTTCTCTTTCCATGTACCTAATGATTTCCTGCCTCATTCCAAGACTGTAGGTGACTGGTGTGGAGCACTTGTTCTACACGAGACCCTCTGGGTCACCTCACAGATGGGAGTCCTCCAGAGAGGGGGCCTCACAGCCAGACTCCTTGGAAGAATCTTCTGCACTGGGTGTCCCCTCCTCACTCCTTAGCTGACACGGGTCAGCGTCCTGCTCCCACAGGCCTGTGTCCCCTGGTGACCGAGTCACTCCATCTAGTCCTCATGATGCCTGAGCTCTTGCAGCCCTGATGCTGGGACCACCCCCACTCCCTGAAGCAGCTTTCTCTTGGTTCTTTCCTACCTCATTCTCCTGGTTTCCCACTAAGTTCCTCAGGGTTCAGACCCAGCCCCATTTCTCCCTTCACTCTTGCCTCTTCCTTAGAAAATCTCTTTTACCACCTCTGTGCCAGTGACCATTCCGCCTGCATTTTCAGCCCTCACTGTGCCCCAAGACTCCAGCTCCATCCATGCTGTGGCTCGAGCAAACCTATGACTCTCCCCCTCCCCATACCTGGCCCACCGCCACCCTATCTAGAGGAACGGCATCACCCCTTAGGGCCTGTCCCTGCTGACCCTCCCCTTTCCTTCCCCTATATTCAATCTATCCTTAAGACCCATCTGTGTTAGGTCCCAGAGGCTCTGGAATCCCTCCACTTTTCTCTACCATCACTCGCCTCAGCTATTGCAGTCTCCTAATAACAGATCTCCCCTTCAAATAGGTTCTCTATTCAGAGCCCAAGTGATCTTTTAAAAAGGCAACTTGAATCCTGTCATCCCACTGCTCAAAGGAGTTCTAGTTTTGTATGCCTCTGAAGACAAAGATGGAAATCAGTACTGTGGCCCTCAAGGCCCCGAGGGATCTGGCCCCTCTTACCTCCTCTGCCAGCCTCCCATTCTCTGTGGCCTCCAGCTCTCCTATGTCCCCTCTACCAAGGACACTCTCCTTTCTAGCTCTACTTGAGCATCCTTTTCTCAGGACAGTGCTGTCTCCTTTTATACCAAACCAGACTCCTTTGTACTACACTGGAAAAGAACCACGTTCTTCTCCTTCAGAGCTCTCCTCTGGGCTTTTAGTTATTTGTGATCATTATTTTATCCTTTCCAGACAGAGTCAGACATAATCTCCACAAGAGCAAAGCCCTTTTTCCTGTTGAGACCTTTTAATTGGTGCTCAACAGATACTTGTTGAATCAATGAATGAGTAATCAACTTCTCAGCGAGGACATACGTAGTATGTCCAGCATTACAACTTAAGAAATTGCAAGACTGGCACGCCAAGGATGTGGCATATTTAGTCCTCTTTCAATCAGCAACATGGACAGAATTTTCTAATCAAGACTTTTCAGCACTGGAAAGAAACCTCTGTGTACGTGTGTGTGATTTTCAAGGCAAATATTAAACTCCTTCAAAGGGAGTAGGTGCTTTCTACAATTCAGGGGAAGACTTCCTTCCAGCTCAACTACTTGAAGTGGACACATAATGGGCAGTTTTTAAAATATGCAAATTAAATCCACTGGCTCCTGCTGACATGGAACTCTGGACACACACTGCTGTAAAGTGAAGCGTTTCTTTTTTTCTTTTACACAGTTATTTCTGAATTGGGCAGCTAATTGGATTTGGTGACACACCCAACTGCCACAGATGCTCTGGCTTGGGAAGGCCAACTCGGTGCAGCCTGTTTTATCTGCGGCTTGCTGGTTAAGCTCAGAGACTCCCCCAGTCCTGCTCAAAACATGGAGTCCATTCCCCAGGCTGGACTGCCTGCCTTTAAGTGGTGTGGATGTTAGACCTCACCTCAGAGGCTCAACTGAAATCTGGCACGCTCCAGGCCTCCTCTTGCTTTCTGAGACGTGTCCTTTTTGAATTGTTGGGATCTGAAACAGTTTTTGCTGTTTGTTTTCTACCGTTTGTGTTCTCGTTTTGTATTATACCAGGAGATCAACAAGATGTGATCTTCTACAGGAAACTGGATATGGCCAGGCATCCAGAGGAAACTATGGAAGCTCTGTTGTTTATTTAGCAAGAGCAGCCCCTGAGAGAGTATCTGGGCTCCTATTACATGGAAGGTTGAGCAGGTGGTGGAACTGTCCTCAGCAGTACACTGCACAACAGCAGAGGGCGCTACTCACATGAAATACAATATGAATGGGGCCCTGGAGGTGTGCACCGCAGCCCTGGAGGCGGAGACAACCATTTTAGAGATCAGTAACTTGAAACTCTGATTCATAACCTGCCTAAGGGCTGAGAGCTAACAAGTGCCAGCACTAGGATTTGAACCTATACTATAATGCTTTGACATTTTGGCACTTAGCCAAAACAATCACCACTTTTTTGGCAACAGTAAAACTTCCTCTGACTTCCCTGAGAGCCGACTGCCTCTCGGAGTACTGTATTACACAGGTAGGCTTCACTGGTCTTTTTCTAAAGACATGTAAAATGATATAAAATGTGAAGAGGCTCTGACTGTTCTGGAACATCCATTAAAAAAAAAAAAAAAAAAAAAAAAAGAAAGAGAAAAAAAAAAGAGCTCTAGACTCAGCTGGATTAGCAACAGCAGCTGCCTAGCACAGGGCAGCAGTTATGAACCATAACACGTGCCCGGAAACTATGGAGGCTTGGTGGAGGCAGCCATG